AGCAATCATAGGGACAATGTTTCGAGAGTATATCTGCATTCTTTTTTTCGAATACATCTTAAAATTCTTGATATTGGCTTAAAATGCCACTTGAAATCTTTCTACCAGTAGAAACAGGTGTGGCATAAATAATATATGGTGATTCTTTCATAGCAGCATGCAAGAAAGCTTTTGCACCTATAAATACGGGTTTAATTGAATTGGACTTATGACTTTCTACTTGATTAACTACAGTGTTAGTTATACTTTTAGAGAAAGTAAGAGTTTGGGAAATCCAATCTATTTGAGGGTTGTATTTTTTTAACCACGATAAACCTAAAATGATTGGATTAGAGGGAGATCTAATGATATTAAATACTACAAAGCTATTATGACCATTGATTATTACTTCTATAGGAAGGGTTTCGTGAGTTATATCTCCAGAAGACAATAGACGACCATCTATGACTTTTACATGAATAGGTTTAGTTTTCTTTATTAAAGATATGTTATGTCTTTTAGTAAATTCTTCATCTAAGAAATACGTTGAGGCTCCTGAATCTAACAAGGCTGAGGCTTTGTAATATTTAGGTTCAAAATAACATTTAATGTAAAACAAGGAGAGGGCTCTGAGGAGAGAATAGATCATTTACTAGATGTTGTGCAAGGTTCCAACCGCACGGTCCCTGTTGTAGCTGGACAAACTCATTTTCTGACATATTATCTTCTTTCATAGCCATACTCCTCATTTTGTGATTGCATTGTTTCTTTGGACAATGTTGAATAGTGTGCTTTGGTTCTCCACAATATAAACATAATCCTTCTTGACGACAACGAGTCTTTTCTTGCTTAATAAGAGGTTTGAAATGTACTGCATCAATTTGTATATCCTCTACTTCCGACTATATGTGTTGAAGAGATATTGGTGTTGCCATTGAATTATAGTAACATTGAGGTCTACTTGTACGGTTCTCAGATCAGAATTCAAAAAGGTGATTGTCGTACTTCACAACAAAGTCAATTATTTGACTCAATGTTTGAGGGTCTGGTAAGTTGAGCATTAATTTTTTTATCTCATATTGTAATCCATAAAGAAATTGGCTAATAAGTGCAGCATCAACCCACTTGATATCAATTGCAAGTTGTCAAAATTGTGAAGCGTACAACATTATTGATCGATTGCCTTGTCGTAAAATATGGATCTTATTGGTTGCAACACAAATTGCATCATGTTCTCCATACATGGATCAAAATTTTGCAAAAAAAGCCTCTAGATTATCCAATATTAGATCTCATCATTGAAGAAAAGATAAAAATCATGATAATGCTGAACCTGATAGAAGCGTACCAATGAATCTAACTTACAATTTTGGAGTTGGATAGCTTTGGGGTTGAAGTTCAATCACAAGTTCTACTTGATTGATAAATCCTTTAAATTTTGATCTGGTGCCATCAAACTTCTTGAGTAGGGCAATTCTTGGTTCGCTAACATTGGAAGGACGTTCCACCATAGGATGAGAGACATGATTTGGTGCATATGTTGAAGCAGCTCCAATCATTTCTATATCTTCACTTCCTGCCAATCTTGTTGCTCCTTGTGGTGGTAAATTGAGTTGATGCATTGCAAGCATTAACTTCCTCAATTGCTCTTGCATTTGTGCCATTGCATTCTCCATTTTAGCAAGTTCTGCCGTGATAATACTTAGAAAAAATAAGATGTCTAATATCGCTCAAGTCAAATAAAAGAAAGGACTTGAGAACAAAGAAAATACTAAGGAGAATATAAGTTTAGAAGAAGGTAATCCATAACCTCTAATATGCTTATAGCTTATCAAGAAAAAGGAGTAATCCACTCTTAATCAAGTTTAGACAAAGCTCTGATATTGTAGGTGTATTCTTGTCAATCTGGCAAGGACAAGAACTCGATGAAAAAGTAATTCAGACAAGTGAGCCTTCACTCAAAGAAAGGTAACAAAATATAAATAAATAAGTATGTATATTGAAAGAGAAACTAAAATGGCTATTGCCAAAAGACAAGAAAACTAGAGACCCTTGAAACTAGACTGGAAGCAAGAAAGGAATTGACAAGAGTGAAGAAGGCTTCACTCTTGTCTCTATATATACTATCTAACTGGGGGCTACGTGGCGACGTTCTATAGGACCTCCAATATGTGTTGACTTTGTAGGACACATGCCTTGACTTACAAGGCAAGTTTTTCTACGTGTGGGCCACATAGTTAGCTTGATCTTTAAGCTAACAACATGTGTGGCACATGGCCAACTTGTTGACCACGTTTTTAATCCAAAAAGTCAATTAAAGACACCTATGAAGTCAAAGCAGCGTCTATGAAGCTTCTAGAAAGCTTCCATATCAAATACTATAGAATTAACTTATTTTTACCTACTTTTACTTACTTCCATTTATTTGTATATATAATCACCAGCTTACATGAATATATCCGTGACAGGAGATGGAGAACCAACAACTAGCGGATTTGACCAAAGAGTCTTTATTTGTTGACCTGCCTAATGAGATATTATGATTTTTTTAACCTTGAAGACGAAGCAATCAAGATGAAGATCTTCAAGAACGACATGTTCTTCCTCGAATAGATGGCAAAATATAATGCGTTTGGTATCACGACCTTGGAAAGGACTCTCGATGTTTGGTGATTTTACTAGAGGTAGGAACAACTCCTGATGGTATTCTAAGTGTTTTATTCGAAAGAAGTTATGAAGGCTTCAACAATGATCAAATAACTGGGTGGTCTTCCCATCTTGGGATGGGACACTACCGATGGTTGAGAGGCCCTATCAATCATCTTCGAAGAGAACAAAGATCAGAGTATGTAGTGAATAGAATTTGTCGCATCATAGATTTCTTCAACATATGATTACCACTCCTGGTGGAACTCGTCCCTAGAAGGGGGGGTATTATCACAGACATACGCATGTAAGCTAATAATTATATGTATAAATAGGTAGAAGCAAGTAAAAGTAGGTAAAAGTAAGTTAATTCTGTAGTATTTGGTATGGAAGCTTTCTAGAAGCTTCATAGACGCTGCTTTGACTTTATAGGTGTCTTTAATTTACTTTTTGGATTAGAAACGTGGTCAACAAGTTGGCCATGTGCCACACATGTTGTTAGCTTGAAGATCAAACTAACTCTGTGGCCCACACGTAGAAAAACTTACCTTGTAAGTCAAGGCATGTGTCCTACAAAGTCAACACATATTGGAGGTCCTATAGAACGTCACCATGTAGCCTTCAATTAGTTAATATATATAGAGACAAGAATGAAGCCGTCTTCACTCTTGTCAACTCTTCTCTTGCTTCCAGTCTAGTTTCAAGGGTCTCTAGTTTTCTTGGCTTTTGGCAATAGCCATTCCTGTTTCTTTTTTAATATACATATCAAGTTATTTCTATTTTGTCATCTTTCTTTGAAAGAAGTCTCACTTGTTTATTTGTCTTTATTATGTTCTTGTCCTTGACAATTACATATGTATGTCTACGCTCTTTTAACAAATTCATGATATATTTAAATATTTAATAATAATTAAAAAATTAAATACATTTATATTTTTACTTTTACTTTTATATTGAAAATAAATGATTTTTTAGAATAATAATGCCTACTTAATTGAAATAATATTGTAAAATATTAGCATTAAATATGTTAGAAACTTTAAATTTTTAATTCAATTAATAAAGACTAGCTTTACATTAATAATCAGATTATTTCATCTATAGAGATTGAAGTGTTTTTTAATATCATAAATCAAAACCATTTATCTTAATTTTTAAATTTAACTATTTCTAACAGCACTTAAATCCTTGAATAGAAAGATAATGGCAGAAGTAAAAAATATGTTGAAATTACAATGTACTTTTTACAGTTTCAGCAAATTGGATGATTCTATTCTTTTCGTTTGGTTCTTAATTCTTGATGTGGTGTTGATCTTGGATATTTTAAACTATAAGTTGATAAATTTTAATATTTAGTTATTGGAAATTTTGAAAAAATTAAAACTTTTTTTTAAAAAAAAAAAAATTATACAAGGATGAATCTATGTTTTTAAAAAATAAGTCACCAATTAGAACATTGCAAAGCACTTACAATTACTAAAGATGCTTTTTGGGGCATAGCAAAATAGCATCACATGAAATATGTAAAGAAGCACATTATTTTGCTAAAAGCTGGATTCACAGAAAGAATTGAAGAAGTTCCAGATTGTCATGAAGATCACCTCAAAGCAACCATCAGATACAAGTGATTTAAATATCTATCATTTTGCAAAAATTCAATAAAAAGTTGTTTAAACTATTCTCTAAATTCTAATTTTGTATTTTGGATCCATCCAATTGAAGTCATACAGTATTTCCAGAAGTAAAATTGTTATATGTTCCCAAAACTTTTCTAGGCTTGTATCTTCCCAAATCTTTTAACTTTCATGCACACGTAGTTAGTTCAGTGAGGCACTAATTATACATGTTCAACAATTACGATTATAATCAATTTTGCATCGAAAAAAAAAAAAAAAAAAAAAAAAAAAATCATTACTACGCACATTTTTAAGGGTGGTATTGTTTAGTGGATTAGTTTGCAACCTCAGTTTTTCAATAATATAAAAGTATAGCTAATTCAAAGGTCCCAATGTTTAAACATGGGAGATGTAATGCAAATGACAAATGTGCATACATACATACACAAATGAACAAAACACGTTGAAGAAGAATAGAGGCAACAAACAACATGTCGATGTTGGTTCAATAATTCAACTATACTAGTACCTGAGCCTCATTTCCGTATGTGCGTGACTTGTTACTAAAAATGTGGCATTTTGAATTGCTTAAAAAAACTTTTTTGTATCATTTTCAGCCTTGAATCTAAATTTAAGAATTAGTCATGGTCATTAAGGGAAGCATCACCAGCCAATATTTAAGAGGTACACTAAATGAACAGAGTGCCTCATGTTCCTCACGTGATAATACGATGTAACAACTACAACCTCTCACCGGTATACAAATTTAACACAAAACCATGTTACAAAGATACGCCATGATAAGGCTCCTGAATACATCAAACAAGTTTTGGAACACACCAATTAGGTGATAAACAGCTTGGGAGTGTAGTCCTTGAACAAATATGGCCAACTAAAAATTATTCAATTTCTTTACTTGGCTGAAGCTCATACGATCACCTAAAGTGAGCAAAAAAGAGGAGAAAATGATCTTCAACTGCTTGACTGAAGCTTCCTCATGTTGTAAAACCGATACAACGTAATTCCCCCAACAATTAATGTTGCGCCCACTGTCAATAACAGATGCCCAATGTCAGCAACTCAACCTTTCTCACATGTGTTGCTACAACACACAAGGAACAGTCGCAGTGGAAACTGACCGCTCGTCAACCAGTTGCTAGTTCTTACGACCATATGCCAAATAAGAGAATAAAGCGACTATGAAAATAGTTGTGTCGTGACTACAATACTGAAAATGCCTCAACCTAAATGACAAGCACCTAAGGACTGAACAAAATACACAAGGAGATTGATGTCCACTGGTCAGAAATTAGAGCATGAGTTACAAGCATTCACAATATCAAGTTCAGAACTCGTAAGAGAAACTTACAAATAGCAAAACCAACTGAACGTTGGATCTGATGTCGATGTTGTTTAGTACTCTTCCCTACTTCTGTTTCTGGAATGCTCAAATGGGGACGCTGAGCGGCCTCAACAATCCTTCGAAATAAGTTGTTATTGTCTCCGAGTTTTAAACTTACAGGAATAGGTGTTTCCAACCCCATTGTAGTGCAGATCTGCATAAATGCAGACTTGAGAGATTAAAAGACCTTAAGTACCTTAAACAACTAGCAACAGGACATGGTTTCCTAAAGTAAATAGCTTAAAAGGCCACATATACCATGAGTATCCAACGCGTTATAAAAACAATAGAAACCATCAATGTGGTAAACATGCGGTCTACAGCAAAACGTGAGCATAACATCTTTACTTGCAGTGCAACCGACATTGCAGCCAAGCGTTAGTGACACCGAGAAAACTATGCTAAAATATCCTCCTTCAATTGGTGTAGTCACACCTAAGGCATCGATTTCCTTCACTGTTTCAGGGGTTGTAGGCAGAAACCATACCCGAGCAGAGTTCGTTATGCAAGAAGGGTTGGATTCCTCATCATCCTTAGCTGCAATGAGTACGCATGGAACTTCGTAACCAAAGCATTCTCCATGAACTGCTACCTGCTCTAGTAATTCAGCAGCTCGCTTCAATGACTCCTCACTAGAGCTGAAGTATATCAACCAAGATCAATATTAGAACTATCACATATAATTATAGAAACATTTAAAACGACTAAGTACGAGTAACATGAAACGCGCGCGCACATACAAACACAAACGCACACACATACAAACACAAACACACTTACAAACACACATACACACACACACACACCTGTCGTATACAAAAGCTGCAACATTACAAGGGGCCAATGCTTCCTTATTCTCCAAGAATGCAGAAACTGAGTCTTCGCTTATCTCTCTCATTACTAAAGTCTTGGTCGTACCCTGTCAAAATAACATTAGACGACACCAAGATTAGAAGTCACAGCTATACCCAAGGTACCAAAATAGAAACCTGCTTGACAGACACCCTCGATCCACAAATATCAACTGCCAATTCTAAACACCTGCTGTGCTCTAGAGGAGCATAGATATAGTAACACGAGTAAATTATCCCATTTGTTAGTCTTTCATATGACGAACCAAGGGTCCCTCGACAAGTTAAAGGGAAACGTTACCTACGCATATTTCTGTTACGAAATATTCGCCAACATTCAACAAAGACCTCGAAGAAACGGAGGTCGGAAATGAAACACACGGGCTACTTACAGCATAGAAGCTAAAATTTGAAACATTAAGATATATGCGGCGCGTGGTTATAAATCAGCATGTGAGAGTATAACTGAGTATAACATCCAAGTCAATTAAGTTTCCAGAATCATGCTACATAAAAACGGATGAGCCGTAATTTCGACAGAGAACATACCCCAGCTATTCCAATTTTGTTGACAGCACAGCGATCACCTTTGGTCGGCTCATACGAGTCAATATATGGTCTGGAGAATTGTAGAAAATACAGGAAGACGCAGTCCCCAATTCAGCATGTCAGGCCAAAAATCGAACGAACACAATACAAATAATGACCTCCTGGACAAAGGTGACCATTTCTCTCTCATGCGAGAAAATAATGCGAAAACTCAAGTTAACTATTAACTGAAGCTACGACAATCGCAAAATACAACACAAGAAGACACACCTGCCAATCAAGGCATCCAAAATAGCAGATTTTCCAGATTTCCTAGGACCAAAAACAAAGCACTGAATGACCCCTCGTTGTAATCGTTGCTTTTTCTGATCGTATTTCCTGCGTCGAGTGAGTTGAAATGCTGTTAATGTGTCCCCGGGATACCCCAAATAGACAAGAGAAGCTGAGCTTTTCTGAGGTTCCAGCAAGGTCATCAATTCCCACTGCAAACATCAAAAAAGAATCAATACAAATTGACTTTCTTGAAAAAGGTTCTCCCACTTCATCAGCACCAGTTCAAACTACCAAGCTGTATTATCAGGACAGCAGAATCTTCATAATCAAATTAGTACCATTAGAAATTGGCAACATTCTATATTTGTGATTCTCGACCTAATTATCGACCTAATAATAAAATTTGAAAATTAAATTAAAAAAATACTGCTCCTATAGAATGGATACAACACTAAATCTGAACGCGACGCACAAGAGAGATAAACAATGGCAGCATCACAATTGTATCAATGCTATAAATAAAACAACTGTCAAACCTGTGAAATAAAACCATTCAAAGTAATGCCTCCAACTGAATTAGTTTCCATAGTATCCTTATACATAGGGCTGTCCCAGGGGCTGCAATCACCATGATTCAATTTATCAATTCCAGGAAATGTACTAAAGCGCTTCTCATTCAACACGTCAGACACTGTAAGGAATAGTTGATGGAGGAAAATAATGTAAAGACTTGATGGTGAAAAGCCACCATCTCCAAGGCCAACTCATCTGAAATGAAATCCGAGATTAGGAGGATGTGCGCGTAAAAAAGAATGAAGTGCATGACTAGAGGCTAAACCAGATAGTATTACCAGGATCGAGAGATCAAATGTGCTCGTAACTTACTTCGATGGAGCTGTTGAAAAAATATCTTCTAATTCGGCTGGTCGCAATGCTCCATCCTGAAAGACAAGAGCGGCATGTGTTCAGCTAAATTATATATGTGTTACATTTAGACTGCAACTTTGCACTAACTGAAAGAATGAGCTCATGTCGTAAAAGTATGCACTAGGCTACCAACTCTAATAGTGAAAACCACCGTTGTCAGTATTGCCATTTTATTTTTCAACAATCGAAAGCAATATTCTCGTACCCCATCCTTGTCAAAAGCCGTGAATACTCCTTTCAAGTAGTCTAATGCCTTTTCTGTTAATTCGATACTCTGCACAAGTTTACAACCGACAACAAAAAAGGTAAGATAAATTCAATACACTGAAGCGCAAAGATAACGTAAGTTTCATAAGGGTATAATATTGAGAACACAATAAAAACGCGCAACATAGTGCAAAATTTGCAGGTAAAGTTCAAACCCGAATGTAATAATATTGGTGTCAATTATCATTGGAGTTCTTCATAAGCCCGAGTTCAGTTATTAGGTTCTACGATTGTGCACTTAAGGCAGTTCAGATTACGTTTCGAGCCCTTGTGGGTACTTAAATCAGAATCACAAGATCGTTCAGAAAACATGCTCGCTAGAAGCTAAGGTTGTGTACCTGGTCAGGTGATCGCTTGTATGAAGGACTTGAAAGCACATCGTCTCGTAAGCAAATTTCCTCATTGTAGCCAAACTTTTTGAGCACTGTCCAAGTTGTCTCTAGCCGACCCCTTTCGATGAATAAAGCATGGAGATATAGAAACCCAGTCAAAGTCAACCCATTCTCATTCACACCCTCTGCTAACTTCTCCGAGACCACTTTCTTCACTCCTACTATTTCGGGAGGCTGTAGAGGCGCATTGAAGCACTTGACCTGACAAAAGGTTGACTTGTGTAAGTAAAACATGAGAACTCATTGCGATTAAGTGTTTTCATAAAAACGTCACAGTCTATCAGGTCTTTGATGTCCCTTACATTCGAAGTGGATGTAAGAAGGAAAAAAAAATGAAACAGAATCTGAACAAAAATAACCTGAGGAAGGAAAGCACCAAAAAAGGGACATGTAAAAAAGACGCTTACATGTGAGCGTGGGAATGACCCAAATTGAAGGGCAGAAACTCAGGATCTTACACACACACACACACACAAAAAACAAAAAAAAAAAAAAAAAAGGTTATCAGTGGAGATGAAGTACTCACCTGAAAATCATTCAACTCCGCATCACTCAAGGATCCATCCCGATCACGATCACACAAGATGAAAATTCTCTTGAGAGCTCGCGCACATCGTGGTTTCAAGGTTTGGGTTTCTTGGTCGAGGAGTGGAGCTGTTGGATATAATACAGCTTTCTGAGCGTAATAAAACACTTCGGCTACCTGCTCAGGACCACAAAAGTCAACTTGCCGTAAGGACTGAAGATATACCGTTACGAAGATCATAAGTGGGATGCGTATAAACAATTCGTTACTAACCTGTATTTGTTTTGCGGCTGAGCACTCTATACAAGTTTCAATCTCCCGGAACTTTTGCATCAAAGGCGCCATCATTTCTTCTAAGCTTGGTTGGCAAACATCACGGAGATCTAGCTTACATCCAACTACTATAACTGGCAAATTAAGCTGCAAGTTCAATACTCTTATCAATGAGGATCAATTGAGGCAATGGAAGCAAATAAAATAAAAATGATTCCTAATAAGAACATGAATCACCACGAAAGTATTCATCTAGGCTGATCCGAACGTCGCATAAAAATAGTGGGAAAGTCTCGCAGCCAAAGCGGAGGACTTGAAAACTGCTGAACCTAAGAAGTCTGCAACAAATTTCATCATGAACAAAAGAGACTGGCAGGAGGCCAGAATGTGGTGCTCACCTTTAGACGTCGAAGTTCTGGAAGCCAATAGCTAGACAAACGTGTAAGTGTTTCTGGTTGATCGCATGCATATGTCAGTACTACGACGTCAGCTTTTTTGAGCTCCATGTCCAGCTTTGACTTGTCTTCCGGCCTATCCACAAATTTTAACGTGCATTTAAATAGCAAGAGTAAGCACAAATTAAACCTTAATAAACCTTTTTCTTCCGCATTTCCTTGTCCACCACTACCTTTCGAGCAGGCGCTTTAACTCAATACTATCATCAAATAAGGACTGTAAGCATGGCTAGCATCGCACCTTACCGACCATATTTACAATAAGCCGCACCTATCCACCCCGCTATCCACCCCACTATGTAATGTCTGAGAACTGATTCAAGCATAGAACTCTCACCTTGAAGAGGAATCATAGATACTTAAGGGCACGCAGTCAGGATAGAAATCGGTAGGCAGGCGTGTAGGCGGCAGTACATGCGGGACGCCTTCCGCAAACGAATCCGTGGCAATTGCCAAAATCATGCTAGATTTTCCGACTCCAGCATCCCCAACTACTACTACCTGAATGCGAGTACGTGGCTCCTTCTTCCTGTCCCCTGTCATAGCTAGAAGATCTCTCGTGGCAAAAACTCCAACAGAGCTTCTTGAAGATCGAAGTCCTCACGACCGCCAAAAAAAACACGAAATGAAGTGCAGAAACAAGCTGCGAAGTATTTAAACCCTAACGCACCATAGCCAAAGCTAGGTTTAGCTTCCTGAGAGGCTCACCGCCGACGAGTCGATGGTTCCTCGAGTTTCAGCCACCGCGCTCTAACTTCATATTGATGAATGGCTGTTATGAATTTCAAAATTGTCAATACCTGCAAACAAGAACATATCTACATAGTAATCATTCCCCAAAAACATCCTCCACCCTTAAGCCACTACACCAAGTACCCAAATTCCAGCAAGAAAATATCGCAAGAATAACCGTACACGACCTAAAATGCAAGATGTCCGCCCCCGAGGAGCTGACAAATGAGAAAAGTTCTGGATCCAAGTTCATACTGCCTAACCTTTTTGACCAGCTAAATGCTCATCTTATGATCAACTGTTCTTCAAACATGTACATAAACACAAGCAAAAGAATTCTTCACTGATGTGGTGGAAAATTAAGCATGTGACATGCTTCAGTTTGACAGGACACATGCCTTGGTTCACTCCCCAAAACCAATTTAGGCTAGACGTGAGACGCTTCTTCCAATTTAAAATAAAATAAAATAAAATAAAAACTGCACGAAATGCAATAGCATCACGAGTGCAACTTACTGAGAGGCGATGTCTAACAAGGTGTCACAAAAGTGCACTGAAAACAGGTCTACTCGTCATCTTGGCCTACTGTGAACACGCATTCAGCTTGATCGTGAGGATGGAAAAACAAGCTACTCTCGTGTATTCTGTCCTCTGCAGCTCTCCTAGAGACTCTTCATACTACTATCAACCAATGACAGAATTACAACATCAATACACTCAGGTGAGAGTCTGTTTGAATAGCGTACAGTGTGCCGATCGAGCCTATGGCTTCCGAGCATCACCTCGAACGCTAGATTCTCACCGGTGCAAGATTATGTAGACGATCAGCTCCATACAACCAGAACAAAAAATATCAAGCCAACTCCCAGCGTGCCTGGGAATTAACAGACAAGAAAAAAAAAAAAAAAAAAAAACAAACAAACAAACAAACAAACAAACAAACAAACAAACAAAAAAAATCATCGCAACTGCGAGAACCATACCACAAGGACCAATTCCCACACTCACACCGGCAGTCACCTGAAAAGTATCAGAGTCTCTGATATCTCACCTAGGGGAGGAAGAACAATCCCGCAGTGTGCAGGGAAGTGGACCCTCCAGCAACACCAGGGATACCGCACGCACGCACGGAATCTAGAGGCAGCATGAGAAGTGCCCAAAGACGGCTAGAACCTGCGGCAGGACAAAGACACAGAAAGAATTCAGCAAGTAGGGGAGGGAGGGAAGCAATTCAATGCTAAGCCCTAATTCTGCTGGCTTGGTCGCTCCTGTGCTCTAGAAAAGGTGAACACAATGTGAGAAGGGGAAAAAGAGAAAAAGAAAGAGACGATGGATGACCCGAGGAAATGGCGGGCGCCACCCGCCGCCTGGCACTCTGTCTTACAGCCATTTCCCTGATCCAACCCCGTCCAGGAGGGGGGTGGGGGGGGGAGGGGAGTCCCTCAGAATATCATTGGTCTCATCATCCTTCCACCTTGAGACTGCTCCTCATATTCTGTCCACCTTGGCACGGTCACGGCACCACGGATGTCCTCACTCTTCCTTTGCTAAATGAACCAGTGTCCGTCTCACATGGCTCTATTTCCGCAGCAGTGATGTCTCACTCTTTTCATTGGTTCTTTGGCTTGCCAGAAATGCGAATATTTTTAACAACCATATCACTAGTGTTTTCTTTATCAAATTTCATGATCAATCCCTGCGTGGACAGGACACATATTTAAGTAACCAGTTTGTACGGACAAGTTATTGTTTTGTTAAGCCAAGGCAAGCTTTGATAGCCTTTGAAGTTGTTGCAATTACAACATAAGCAAACATGTTCTCATTTTATTACAACTTAATGATCAGTAGCAAAAAACATCAACAAATTTGATTCTACTCGAAGAAATCAATACAGTTTTCACGATCTCATATTTCTAAACCATCCACAGAAGGTGGCATTGATATGAACCCCATCTTTTGAGACTTCAAAGGACCAAAATAGGATCTCTTGAAGGTGAGGCCTAATACCAGAGCAAGCCACGATTTACACTGGCAACAACCTCCTGTTGTGACGAACAGAATAAACGCAATACAATATGAATGAATACATGGATGAAATACTCATACTATCAGCATGCTCGGAGTATACGTAGGGAATGACGTCACCACAGTGGCACAGTCACGGAATCTGTTCATCGGCACCAAATCCGTCCAAACCTGTACTGAGGAGAAGAGACCTGCGAGCACCGTTCATCCAAACGCGTGAACGATGCGAAAGAAGGCTCCGAAGTGTCTATGTGTGCGGTGAGCTCTGACGTGGTTAATGCAGCACGGGCGATCGCAAGCACTATCGCCGGTGATGAATTTCACTGCGCTGTTCCACCGTGCTTGTGAGATCCGCCGCCCACTCTCCCAGCTTCGGCACTGGCTTGAGGTAGACATCTCGGCTAACTCCCCGCAGGAATCCATTTGGGCTGAACTTGGCCAGTACATCTTTGGTTCTGCTTTCAGCTCCGTTAATCTCACCGAATAGGACGCACTATGCTCTGGAACTGCCGCACTCATTGATGGCCATGGGTGCGAATTCTCCAACACGTCTTTGGGAGAGATTCTGCTTTTTGTTCTTTTCTTTTCTGTTCTTCTACAAGGAAGAGCCTGAAGTCCTCCGTGCATCTTGATTTGAGGGTTTCGACGGTTGCCCCCCGCTGTAAGCGTTTTGATTAACATTACAGGGCTTTGCATTCTGTGGACTTTTATATAGTGTTTACTTTCCGGTTACAGCAAGAAAACAGTGGCCTCCGTGACTTGATGCGATCCGTCCGGAACTCGTTCGAACCATGTTGGGGAAGCGGAGGATGTGGAGGGCTGTAGGCATGTACAACCCTGGACAATGTTTTGTCCTATTACCTCCTTACGACCTGTTGCTTGTGTGAGGCTGCCTGCACTGCTCGGAGAAGGCCTCATTCATCCCTTACAGTGTGTTGGAATTTGAAAGAATGTCACTGTCACTGTGACTTCCTGTTCCACTTCCTTGCAGATTCAAGAACCTCGGTTCGTGGAAGTGTGGAGCTGCTGTTTCCGAAGACCATTAATAGAGTGTTTTATCGAGTTCAATGAACATGCAAGCAATTCCAGCGGCGTTATGATCTTGAGGTTTGCAGTGAATTGCCAAGGAATATTAACATGTGGTACTACAGGTGTTGGTGTAGAGTGGGTGATGAGTTGGGATTGAGACTGACGTTGAGCAATGGTGTGTTAACGAATTGGAATCCAGCTTTGGAAGAGTTCCAGGAAAACGATACTGAGGTATCGGTCGGAAGTTTGGTGTGCTTGAAGAAGTCAGGCCAGTGCATAATCATACACAAGCGTGACTAACACTGATTACTGCACACACACTCTCTTGACTTAACTGGCACTTGTTGGATTTCTCGGAAGGATTGCGAACCGGGTTGAATGATCTGCTTCCAGCGAGTATTCGAGTTGAGGGTACTTAACCAGATATCTTACGAAGGGGATTGAGAAGTTGGGAGAAATGGCTGAGCTCTGGCCCAGGTTGGAGACGAACTAAATAACCAGATATCATCGGGTAAGTCCAATCAAAATGCTGGCAGGTTATAAATCTACAGCTCGTTGCAGCAGATTCGGATATGAACCCAGTGGTTGGCACAAGATGTTCTGGTAAATACAGACGGGACAACCATGCAAATTCTTGCACGTGTTCACTCTAAGCTGAGTTATGTATGTCTCCTTCAATTTGAATGTGGTTTTAACTAATTCACAGTTCATTTCGCTTTGCTATGTGAAGCTTTCTTCGGTTTTCATTATATGATGTTGCGAGTGTTTCAAAGCTGATAATTTTGCTCTTTGCTTCTTATCCTCAACTTCGGTTTAAGAATTGATCCATTGCGGCTGCCTGAAGAAGTGGTACATTTGTTCCACTTTTGCCCAGACTTGTTAAATCTGTATGTGAAGTGCAAGGGAACCAACAAGTTTCGGTTGAAGCACCTGCGAGGTCTGCAAATTCTACCACTAGAACCTGCCTAAGGAACATCCTTACACCCAAATTTTGGATGCAGTGCTGTTTATGATTATCAACCTCATTTTATTTATGTACCACCAAGCTAACTGTGTCAAGGCTCGGTTGACATATTTCTTTCTGTGCACAACATAAAGTGCAATAACGTCGTACATCTTCATGAAATGTCCAAATTACACTTTGGTTTGAGGCCCATGGAAAGGAGAGCGCTATGATACCCAAGTTGACAAGACTTTGTCCCAAAGCTTCGACAGTCGGATGAACACGCACTAATCGTTAAGGTAAATTAATATCAGGAAGGTCAGTGAGCTTGGTGTCCAGTCTAACTTTCTTCTAAGGTTTGAAAGAAGTTGGCATAGCCTGCAACCTAAATAACCATGCACGTAAAACTACATGCTACAACAAATAGTAATGAAACTGTTAACAGATATGTATGCTGTTCAACCTGCAATCCAAATTGTTGCAGACAAACAAGATTTCACTTTGAGACGACAGCTTGGGGTGAACACAATTAGATAGTTGGTTGTTGCAATGTATATTATACAAGAAATATTCACACTTGATTTTTAAATATTGGCTATACAATCTTATTAGTTAGTATTATTATTAGTTGGAATTGCAAGAAGCAATCCATAATTGCATTTTTTTACTACTAAAACAAAATATATGATATTTATTTATGCAACCAAAGAAGTAGTTTGGTTCATAAAATTAGTCAAAGACATTGGATTTTTATTTTGCAAAACTTTCTTCTTTACAAGAAATTAATTTAAATGACTGTCCAGCTTAAAAAGCTTGTCAAATGAATTATCAAACATTTCTTTTTTATAAGAACTAAAGTTTAAAAATGTGTTCAAGCTTCACATGTTTGACAAATAAATTAGTAAATTTTCCTTCTTTGCAAAAAAAAACTTTCAATAATTGCAATAGAATGACAAGCTTAGAAGATCAACTGAAAAGTCTTTTTGTTTTTTAGAAATTCTTCTATTGGATAGTTGATTAAGCTTAATAAGCTTGCCACATGAATTAGCAAATCTTTCTCTTTTACAAGTACTTTATTTAAATAAATATCCAAATTTAACAAGTTTGCCAAATGAAATAACAAATTATTCTTCATTGAAAGAAACTTTATATCAATTAGTGTTCAAACTTCTCAAGTTTATCAAAAAATGTAAGAAAACTTTTTAATTTGTAAGAACTCTACTTAAAAGGTTGTTCAATCTTCAGAAGCTTCCCAAATAAATTTTCAAATCTTTCTTTTTTAATAATATTAAATTTGAGTGGTTTCTTAAGCTTAATAAATTTGCTAAATAAAATATACAAACTTTTTTCTTTTCACTTTTAAAATAAGAGTTTGTAGATGATTTTTATGTTTGTTATCTAAACAAAATTTTGATCTATTCTATGGATAAAAAAAAACATGAACATCATGTTCATTGTGATTTCTAAAACTTGAAGGTAGAGAATTATATCCTAAAATAAAAAAACAAATAAAAAAAAAAGCTTATATTTTACACATTTTAAGTTGATTTTTTAAAATATATCATTTCAAATAAAGGCCTTATAATAGATCCTAAAAATAATTAGACTATCTTAGATTACAAAACTTTAAGAATAATAAAAAAATCAAATATTTTTTAAGATTTGTCAATTATCATTAAGTTTTATTAAGCATCTTTTTCAAGATGCAAATCCACTTATATGTTTGATTTATAAAGACTAACTTGATGGGAACAAAGATTCTAAAGTAGCAATTGAAGCTATGAAGATAGTCCTTATTTTATAGCTAATTTTACTTTGATGGATAATTAAAGTAAATATTAAGAATAAGAACTCAAATAATATAAATAAACAATAAAGACATATATTAAAGAAAGATGACTAGGGAGAAGTAAAAAAAAGTAGGTATATTCAAGAAGAAATTAGAATGACTATTGCTAAAGACTTTAAAAAAAAAAAAAAAAAAAAAAAAAAAACTTGATAATAAATTAAAAGTAAGAATTCACATTAAGAGTCTTAAAGCTAGATTAGAAAGCTTATGCATATATGTTGTTGGATACATACTATTGCAATATACATGCAAGATGACAATATTTTTCAATGGTGTCTGTCACGGACACAAAATACAGACTTGAAATCTAATAAGAAGTTCAAGAAGAAGTGGCAGAACTAGATTAAACAGATGAGTACAAGAACAACACCAGAAAGGTGAGCTAGAACTCCAAGAGATGTGTTGTCGAGACTGAAGAACTCTTTAGCCTCGACTCCTATATATAC